CGAGGAAATCTCACTGAGGTATTACTTAAATAAGCCCATCCCAGCCGTGACCAGAAACGTCGGCCCTCATAGCTGGGGCTGTAGGGGCCATGCCACAGCCCAGTGCAGACAGGGCTCCCTGGCCTTCCTTCACTGTTTTCCAGAAATGGGCAGGGACAGAGGGGCCATAGGGCCTCCTCTGCCTGTAGCAGGTGGGGCACCCTGAAAACCTTGGGGAAAGGAAGGCCGGTGGGTAAAGGGGAGGCCAGTGGGTGTCTCTGGGTGCTCAGCAAGTGGCTGACAGGTGCAATCTGAGCACCCCTTCAAGTCCCACCCAGACCTCATGTGGGATTCCAGTTTGCCTACTTGGTCTTATACTCCTCCTCCTGGTCCCGGCAGCTCTTCAGCTCAGCATCCAGAGTCCCTCGTTCATTCTGGAGCTGCTCCAGCTGCCCCCTGAGCTGGGCCAGGTAGGCCTCCAAGACAGGCTTCAGGTCCCGGGGACGGCCACCCACCTCCTGCTGCTGCAGCAGGTGCCATTTTGTCTCAAGGACCTTGTTCTGCTGCTCCAGGAACTGCACCTGCAGCGTGAGCAGAGGGTCCCTGAGGCTCCTGCAGGACTCCCTGGGTACAGCCTCTGCAAAGTAAAGCCTCAGGGACCCCCAGCCGGGCCACCTTTCCCCAGCCTCCTGACACAGCCCCGGCAGGAAGAACCTTGTGCTCTTCTGTGAGAGCCTGAGCACGTGATTGTACAGAATAACGGGAAGGGTCTTCCCACTGCTAACCCGCTGTCCTCTCCCCTGAGCCCAACCAAGGGACCGTGGGCCCCAGTTGAACCAGAGAAATGCCAGTTAGACCACAGAAAAGACTTTCTTGCTGTGGAAGTAATTAGAAAAGTGGTGGCAGGAAGCCAGAGTTCTGGCTCCCAAGTCCACCAATAGCAGAGCCTGCGAGGAAGGCACAGAGCCAGAGGGCTGACTGAGTTGACCCTCACCTTGTCAATGAAGGAAGCAAACTGGTTGTTGAGAGTTCTGATCTCTTGGGTCTCCTGAGTCCGGACCACCTGGAACTGGGGGTCGATCTCAATCTTCAACGGAGTCAGCAGATTCTGGTCGATGGTCACTTTTTGGATGCCACCCGGAGGGCACAGAGAAAGCCCAGGCCCACCACTCCCCTCCCCAAACCGTACCCCCAGCCTTCCCCTGGACCCCCAGGTCCTCCCACGAGAGCCTCCTCGGCACCCTCCAAAGGAACTGAAGCTCCTGCTGCTGAAGCTGCCTCTGCTGCGGCTCCCTGAGCGAGCAGAACAAGCTGAGCGGGCACTGAAGCCCCCCTGGGCCTGGCATGGGGAGAGAGACATGGCAGACACAGCCGGTCACGCAGCTGCAGACAGACACACAGATTGCCAAGGTGTGTGAGTTCCTGCCCTGGGGCCTCGGCACGAGACTTTTATCCCCTCCCGTACCTGGGCTGGACCTTGGAGAGCAAGATGCTCTTGGCCTGACTGTGTCTTTCACTTGGCCCTGGCCGACTTACTCTGACACGCCTGGAGAACAGATGCCTGGCACGTGCAGATCCAGACCCTGCCCCCAGAGCTCGTGAGAGAGAGGGGCCTGCCCAGAGGACAAGGAAGGAGCCCAAGCCTGGACTCCGGTGCTGGGAAATGGGGAGGAGTGGCCCTGGGCAGTCACTGAGGGCCACCAAGGAAGGCTTCCTGGAGAAGGATATAGGGAAGAGGAGAGGGGCAGTCAAGAGGAGGAGAAGACAGAGGGCTTCAGAAGAGGCATCAGAGCACCCTGGAGGAGATGAAGCTTCCCGAGGGAGACTCTATCTCGGAGAGTTGGAGAAGGGAGCAGCACTGCAAAGCCGGGAGGTTAATGGAGGTGTTATTACCGTCATTGGCTAAAAGACACTCAGGATTTGGAAATGAACAGAAAAACAGGGTGTCCAAGTCCCTCCTCTTGCCCAACCCAGCAATCATCCATGAGGCACCACCCCACACTAGCCAGTTATCTCCATCCAGGATCGCGGAGCAAGGTTTCTGAGCCCAGCCTGCGTCCCTCTCCTTCCACAATGCACAACGCCAGGCCCATCGCCTACAGCCGAGCTCTGCCTTTGTCAGTTTACCAATTAGAGGCATCAGGCCCCAAACCAAATGCGCACTGAGAAAAACACTCTGAGGGGACTGGGAACAGAAACAGAAGGTCTGGGGCTGCCATAGGATAGAGTCCATTTCTGACTTGAAAGTCTAGTTAGTGGTGGAGCATTCCAGGGCCCACCTGGCCTTTTAGTGCAACCTCCCACCAAGGCAGGAGTCCTGGTAGGAAGACCCCCTGCAGCTCCACTGAAGCTCCTCCGCTGCTGGGGAGCAGAGTGGGACAGCTCGAATTTTCAGACATTTCTGATAGTTCTTCCTTACATGATGGGGGGCTATTTCTCCCTGTGCCCTCCCTTTTCTGGAGCACAGCGCACTGGAAGCTAGGACCCTAGGGTGTTTGATAACGCAGCTTAAAACGATGAGAGGGGCCAGATGGTGGGATGGCTGGAACTTGCACTCTGCAAGGCTGACCCATGTGGAAGGTTCCAGATTCTAATCCACAGATTTCCCTGAAGGTGCCAAGCATGCATGTGCCTAAGACCCGGGGCTGGCTGAAGAAAGGGGTGGATCACAGTGTCAAAACCTTGCTGAAGGGCCCAGTAGGTTGTGCGGTGGTTAAGGGCGCTGGACTCGCACAGGGCTGACCGTGATTCAAGTCCCAGACCTGGAGACTTGCTTTCTCACTACTCTCTCTCTCTCTCTCTCTCTCTCTCTGTCTCTCTCTGTTCAAGGTGGAAAATAATAATAACAATAAATAAAGTTAAAATAATTCTTTAAAAAATAGCACATAAGAAATCAAATGTGTGGGACCAGCACATGGTGTAATGGTTACGTCACTGGACTCCAATGTAGTTGACTGTAGTTCAAGTTCCAGACCTAGTGGCTTAAAACTCACGGTGATTTCTCGCTTTCTGTCTCTGACTCTCAGGTGAGCACACGCAACCTATAGCCAAAAACCCTCTTTAAAAAAAAAAAAAGATGGGGCCAGCAGATGGCATGGTGGCTAGGGTGCTGGACTCCCACATGGCCAAGAGCAGTTCAAGTCCTGGATCAGGCAGTTTGCTTTCTAATTTTCACACTCTCTCTCTCTCATGAATGCATATGCCCTATAGCAAATTAAATAATAATAATAATAATAAATAATTTCCTTTTTTTTTTCTTAAGAGGTTCTTGCTATAGGGCGCATGCGCTCGCCAGACAGAGAGAGAGAGAGA